CCTGAGGTTTCGAAATCTACACATTCCCCTGCTCCCCTTCATGATCCACTGACTGTGACGCCTAGTACTAGCCGTGCTTCCCCAAATCGCTCCAGCTCCGGAAGCTTCGGAAGATCCAATCCCATACACTCCACAAAAGGGGTCAAATAATTCATTTTTTAAAAAGTTTTTAGTAGTCCCGATATATGTAAGTATACTGCAAGATACTGCCAAAGCATTCTATTCTACGCAAACAAAGTCCCTATGCCACAAGCCAAGCTGTGCTCTGTGGCTACAATAGGCACAGCAGCCTGACCCTGCGGAGGAGGAACTCCCCAAACTGCGGAGAAGAAAACTCATGGCGGCAACATGTTGAGACCCCCTCACACACCCATGCGCACACACACGCACACACACCTTCTGTGCATGTATATAACTTACATATATATATATATTTATTTATTTATTTATTTATTTATTTATGTATTTATTTATTTATACACAGTGTATGGATACATACAGACGTAGGTAGTTTTCGTGGCGGAGCTTAATGCTACAAAAGATGATCTGATTCCCTGCATCAGAGTATCGGCACTCCTGCCTCGCATGTGCTCGGCTGGTGCCCGCCGAGGTGCGGAGGATTCATTGGATTCAGATGCAGATTGGTGTCGACCAGCATCAGCCAGCTCGAGAGCGCCAGCCGAGGCACACCTAAACACCTGAGCTACAATCTTACCACTGTGCATAAACAGAATATGAACATAACAGTAAACAAACAGCCATGTGTGTATGTGCACAGTTTAATATAGATATTAAGAGTGTGAATACACTGTACATATATTTATATACTGGTTGCGTTTGTGTATATTTTATGGAGGCATACAATATATATATATATATATGTATACATATTTTTTATTTATATATATAATTATATATATATATATATGAGAGAGAGAGAGGCCTCACGATATTTGCAATGTAATGTATCCATATGTCATAATTTTTTGATGTTTTCTGTATCAATACTGTCAGCAGTGTGAGTAGTCGTAGCCGTTGCATTATTTTAGTCGTGTGTATTTGACACGTGTTGTAGTCCACTTGCCTTGCTTGGGGCAACTAGGGGGGCTGGAATTCCATTCAAAGCTTCAAAGGTATCGGCCTTAGAGGCAACTCGATAGAGGGCTTCCGGATGTTTTGCAATGATCGAAGTGATTTTAAAAGACGGACTGCCAAGATTTATGCTGGCATCGTACCAATCTACGCAAGGCAAGGTTGTCAAGTTGTCAGGACTCCAAGCTCTGGGTCCTTGCCGCTTTACCGTTTCAATCCGCAAGTTGTTGTAATGCTATGCTAAGCAGTGCGTCGTTGATCGTGGAGATGCTAGGTGAATGTTCAAGAGGCGCAGAAGGCTCTATAGATGCAGCCCACAATTAAAAAAAGTCGGGCTAGTAGAGTGTAGGATGTGCGCGGCATAATATCGCCATCACGAGTCCCGAGACCAGACCGAGTCCCAGAAATGTCACAGGCGGTCTGTGGCCTGGTGCGCCGGATCCTCATAGTGTTGGCGTGAGTGTATAACAGAACGTCATCTCTGGGCTGCAGCATGTCCAAGTTTGCCGGAAGCAAATTCACCGGCTTGCTTTCCAGGTGCCGAATGGCCAAAGCCTTAGACGCGACAGTGCATCGGCCGTGCTGGTGGCTAGCGCAGTTGCAGTGCTTGGAAAGCAGTGGGCAGCCCGAACGTCTTTCGCATCAAGAGGAGCAGTCATGCTGCAGGTTCGAAAACCGTTACAGCGGTCTGTTCCAGAAGGCCCATGCGCACCGGGTCTGGGGTTGTGCGAGTGCTATCCTTCGGGCTGATAGGCCACAGCCTGATAGCTTGCCGACGATGCTGATGCTTTCCCCTTCATGCCCCGCAGGCCGATTACGGCTTGGCGAGGTTGTCCATGATGCAATCTGGTCAGCAGGGCACACGGAGATGGCGCTGCAAAGTTTGTCTCGAGGTTTCTCGCTGCTCAGGGCATCCCAAAGTCCCATGTCCGTCCTCTGACAGCGCATAAGGTCAGCTGGTGGCTGGAGGCAATTTGTTCCGACGTCCTTCCTTGGTTTCGAGTCAGCCCCTGAGCAGTTTCGAAGTCATTGCTTAATCAGCAGCCCCTAAACCCTAAACTCTAAACCCACAGGGACCTCGTCTGGCGGAGTCCGAGTTGTGAGAACGTAAACTCTAAGGCGGGTGGGAAAAAACCATGTCACCCTATGTCATTGTCCGTTCTTGTGTACTCCTGCCAGGTCCCCTTGCCGTCCTTCTACCACCATTTGTCCGTGCTGGTCTCTCTAACCTCGGTTTGCCCAGCGGTTCTCCCACAGGAAGTGCTAGCCTCTTTTCAAAAGCATGCTGGATTCAGACTTGATTCCTATCACCCTCATTTGCCATCGCAGTCTCATGAACTTCTGAGGGTCTTTCGCCAGACGCTAGGCCTCATTGATCTGAAAGACGGGTGGATTTTGGCTCAGCCGCAAAAAAACGTTAGCAGCAGCATGGATTGCAGTGCGCACTTTACCTTTTTCCTGCTGCTCTGTCACGCTCCCAGGCGGGACACGGAGCAACCGCCTTCACCCGCACTAGCGCTGTGGGCTGAGAGGGGCAAGGTTTGCGTGGCTCGGGTTCTCAATGCAGGGGCTGTTTTTGTTAGCACTCTCAGCCAATATCGCGCCAAGCCCTGACTGAAGGCTTCTGATTATACCAGAAGGCCGAAGGATTGCCGGGCTTCGTCGAAAGCCGGAAGTTTGGTCTACCCTGACTCTTTGATCTGACATACAAGTTAGTTCGCAGACAAGCACGCATGGAAGCGCTACAGTAGTACAAGGTACTGTACCATGTCTCAATGTAATCGAGCTATCGGCTTCTTGACACGACATCAACCCAGTCAGTATTCTTAATTTCTCGACAGCTCAAGCAGAGATGCCCTTATATAACTTACAGCAGTCCATCGTCGTGATGTCAGCACACCATTTGACTCTGAATTTGCACAAGGTTGAAGTTCTTCCGCGGCGGGCAGGTGGACCTTGGCATACATTGCCATGCAAACCTTCGGTTGTTAATCTAGAACGGAAGATGGTCTTAGCTCATGGCTCGGGCAACTACAAAGTAAGCTGCATCTGTGAGTAGATGATAAGGCGTTTGTTTCCAATATTTACTTTATTTGCTTGTCTACGTAGTTAGAAGGTCGTCACGTCAAAGCTTACATTCTGTGTTATTCTGTTTTGGGCACGCGGCACAAGCAGTCCTCATGACCTGTTCCATGCCGAAACATAATAATATGTGCCTACATTGGCCTACATATACAGATTAACCTGTCTACATATGTACATACAGATATATACAGAAAGAAAGTATACACATCTGTGTATGTGTGTGTATGTGTATATATGCATATATACATATGTATATATATATATATATGACATGTGTAAAAATGCAAATGGATATATGCGCACATGTATGTGTGTATACATACATACACATTCTCACGCACAAAGGCACACACACACACACACGCACGCACGCACGCGCACGTTATCAACTCCACAGTCCGAATAAACAGCCCCAAGGGCGTGGAACTGGCAAAGGTTCTCAAGCACCCTTTGCCTCGATTTGGGTTTGTCAGGACAGCACCTGCGGTCTGTTGAAGCTGTCGGGTTCTGTTGTAGCTGTGCGTGTCTTGTGCGTCTGAACTGCGATCTCGACAGCATCGGTTCGCCAAGTGGTGGGGTCGAGACCCGAAAACAAGAGGAAGAACCTGGCCTGAACCCTAACCCCCAAGGCGAGGTTGGGCTACAGTAGTCCGAGTTGTGAGAGTTAAACCCTAAACCCTATAAACCCTAAATACTGTGGACCCTCAACTCAAGAAGAGGCTCCCAGCGGAAACCTGCTGCTCGTTGGCCAGCCTTCTGCCATCACCAAGGAGCGTCGAGTAGCTGCTGTCTATTGGGACAACGGAACACCTGTTGTGTCAATCTTGGGTGTGGCTTTCGGCCCATTTCTGAAGTTGTTATTTCTGCGTTTCGGACATCGTCTGTTTGAGATGGCATTGTGCGAGTTGCATACATCACGGGGGAGAACAGCTCATCATCAGAGTCAGATGGTTATCCGAGTTAGATGGTTCCCCGAAGGAAAGCTCTATCACTGAACCCAAAGCTGAAGCTCCAACTCCAGCATGCCAGGAAGATGGCGAGATTGAGCAGTGCCTCTGTAGCCAAAGTGCGCAGGCCAGCACCAGCCGTTCAATGTTTGGAGATCTTAGAGACACAGCAACTTCCGGACATCCTCCGCAAGCTCTTCGACATTCAGGGATGCTTTTGGGATGTATTGAGTATGACGGAGCATTGCCCCAGTCATGCATTGTTATCATTTCATTATAGGACCGAAAAGCTCGAAGGAAAACGTAGCTTGTCATGACATTGCACCCGCCCCATGATATCCCTCTGATGCTAAATTGCAGACATTCCCGCCCTGAGCCCTCCGAGCTCCGGAATAGGCGGGCATGTCGTTTTGTGCTGGTCACTGTGGTATGCTTGAACCTTGCTAGTTTACCCGGCGAGCCTCCACCTTTGCTGTGGCACCAAGACAGAACTCCTAATCCCTAAATCCTTAACCCACACAAAGATGATTGCCTTAGCTTGTCATTCGGCAGCCATGTTTCAGAGCTGATGGTGGAAGTGTTGGTGCGACGTGATCCGCATGTACAAGGTGGACAGCGCTTCCCATGGGCGTGGTGGCCAGCTGAGCCAAGACCGCGGCTCTACCAGTGCTGGAACAAGGAACCCAACTATCCCAGGCCTGGGCGGAGAACAGTGCCATGATGCAGATCATCCGGGAAGCTTTCCGAGAGCGTAGCAACGCGGAGGGGACGACCCTGATCACTGGCCTGGGATGTTTGGCAGGACGAGTGCCGTTCTCAAGGAGTGCCACGACCAGGGCAAGCTGGGCTTCGTCGTGACTTCGTGAGCCTCGGCGACTACAACGACAAGAACATCGGGGAGTTCGTAGTGCGCAGCCTCATCTCGAACGGAACGGGCACGATCCATTCCAGCAGCTGGTGTGGCTGTTCTTGTAGCCCAGAGTATGCGGTTGCCCAGCATCTCAAAGCCATGACCCACATCCCGAAGCGCATGGACGTGAAGTACTGCCCGGCGCCCATCGCAGATGTTTTGTTGCGCCCGTACGTCCAGCAGCTCTTCGAAGGTTCGGCCCGAAGGTCGTCGAGATCGTGCGGCGCCTGGGCGTCTCCATTGATCTCGTGCACCGCTTGCATCGGCACTGTGACTGTGGTGTCGAAGGTCTGCGCAAGTGGCACAAGGCGCAGCTGGGGTACGGGGTGAAAAGCCAAAAAGAATACACTGACGGAAGGCGGGATGAAGAAGGAAGATAAGGCCGCCAAGAACGGCGAAGCCATGATTGCGGCTGCCAAGACTTCCTTCGGGCTGCCGGTCGAGCCCGTCAACAACGGCACAATGGAGCGCTGCAGCGGGGAAGTCATGAAGGAGCTCGTCTGCGATAAGGCCGTCGCCGCGGTGATGAAGGAGCATGTGTCCAGTGAGATTATTCCTGAAATTTGAGAAGGCGATGGAAGGCAGATGCCCAGCAGTGAACAAGCAGCCAAGGCAGCCAATCACATTGCGGAGACGTCTTTTGAAACGGGATTGACATGCAACCGTCAGCGTAGCTTCTCAGTTGGCACGGGGCGCCGGAGCAGCTGGGGTCACGATGCATATATCATATGGCATATGTATCATATTTATGCTCGTCTTGCAAAACCGGTTAAATCAAGTAAGTTGTTGTTCCGGTACGGTACACCACGGCCACGCAGGATCCTCATCCGGACATGGCCTGAAGTGCCAGCGCCCGACGTTCCCACGTACACCTATTCTATAATCTGGCGTAGATTACGTGCCCTCGCATGTTAATGTAGCAAGCAGCCCGGGCGAAGCTTTCTTGACAGATCCTACCTTGAGCGAGTGTGCGAGTCGAAACCCCTAAACCCTCAAACCCTGAACCCTAAACATCCCTAAACCCTAAAACCTCGCCTGGCTTGTCCGAGTTGTGAGAGTGTAAACCCTAAAATCGCTCCCCGGATCTCGCGAGACGGAAAAGGGACGTTAACAAAAATTAACACACCCTGAACCCTATAAACCCCTAATTTCGAAACATGAAGTGTTTCAGGTTGGCTGTGATGCCACCGCCGAAAGTGTTCAGGCCGGTCACGCCCTATGTAGATTCTCGGGTCGAGGATGAACAAGGCTTTGCGCGGTCATTGACGGCATAGATTAGTGGATTATGGGTACTATCAGACTTAAAACGGGCTTTCGGAACACTACCCCTCTATGTGGGTAACTCGGGCATTTTCGGGCAGTTATCAGGAATGCTTCAGCCGCTCCAACATGGATTGAACTGTTCAGGCCTTTGGGATTTAGGGTAGAGGGTGTCGATAGTTGGTGGTCGTACCTGTTGCTTGAGGACGGATTCAGACTCGTGGTGGGCAGAGTATGCACACTTCCGTGGTTCACGGCGCTGGAGTGATGATGTTTCGTTGAGTCAAAACGGACTCCTGTTATGCTGTATGCCCTAGTCCGCCGAACCGTCTAGCTCGTCCAAGTGTGAGTGTCAAGGGCCCTTTACACTGAACCCTAAACCGTATAAACCAACCGTTTCAACCCTGTAGGCGAAGCCTGGCACACTACAGGGTGAAGTCAATACCCAAGCCATCCCACTGGCACATCGTTTCTGCCCACAGAAACTCGCCTTTGCTGGTTAATAGTCCGAACCCACATTGACATAGAAATTATTGCATGAGGCGGTCAACTTATCCGGTTGGTCAGTGTTCTGGTGATGAGTTCTCCGGAAGATCCCTGGCGAGGGGTCTCATACGAAGCCTCATTCCGCAGAGTGGTGTTGATGGAGGTGTTGGAGGCCAAAGAGCAACGACATCGTGAATCGTGAGTGTACCATAGCATACTGAGTAGTCTTTCTTTGTACTCCCACGACTTCCAGGCCTCGCAGCTTTCACGGCATTCAGCCTGGTAGCGACCTCAGTTGCTTGAAGCACCTCTGATTCCTGTGGGAGCCACGCATTCAAGGAGCTTGGTCCGGACGTTGCTGTGCAAATCTGTGTAGCACCGATGATCAGGCTCTGAGGGGTAAAGCAACACAGGCACCACACGAGAATGACGGCACAATGGAGATTCACTTCATGACTGAGGGTTGTTTCCTTCTACTTTTAGCCACACTACTTCACCTTTTGTCCTTCCTTTCATTAATAGTAGTCTTGTATGCCCAAGCTTAAAAGCGGAGCCCTAAAAAGTTGCTCTTGGCAGCCTGCTGACTCGCTGAGCATTGCAATGACCGTGACAGCTGCGGGAAGTTCCTGTGACTAGGCGCGAATCTGGCATGCTAGGCGTTAATACGGAAGCCTGACGAATTACCAATCTTGTTCCTTAGACCCGTATAGTATACCGTATACCCCAAAACCCTATTCCAAGTAACGCCGTCGCATTGTACCGCGGACTGTACAATTCGACGATTCGTAGTTCAGGGGTTCACACCGGCAGCACAAGCACTACTTACCTGTGATAGCCCATGGCAGCCTAGATTTAGTTAACAATCGTATTCTGTGATTGCCAATATTCTTGCTGAGGGCTCCGTGCTATATAATTGGACTATCGGGTACGCCCAAACCCTTTTCTAAATATTTCAGTGCCTATATTTCCAGAACTGAGCAGATATGCCCGATTAGCGGTTTCGGGATCAAGAACCACTGATAACCCGGCAACACCTCAGGAGGCCTGGCTGCAAAAAGGATCAAGAGCAGTGATGCAGTGCAGCCGTAATGACCGGTTGACTGCAGCAACAGTACATTAGCAAATACATCTGCTGGGCTAGCAGCAACCACTGGATTACTGCCTAGACATATACGAGACCGTGGCGGCTGGCGGAAACCATTCTTTCCACACCGCTGTAGGGTTTGGTGAGAGACGAGAGGGTGGATTCGTACATACTACCACTGCAGAAATCATACCGCATGGTATGATATCGTGTAAGGAAGTATCCCCTTTTATCACTAGTCGGGTGCATGCATCTGCACATCTCCACTTTCAAGAGCGCTCATCATATCATGCCACACATGTACGACGCTCTGGGCTTGAAGCGATTCTTGGCCCCTGGGTTATGAGGTGCTGCACGGTACTTCCCGTTCAGTATTTGCGTAGTGTGTCCCTGTTCCTGGAGCCCTCAGTGCACATAGTACTCCCAAGAGGATGATCCATCCGACGGGCTCTGACAAGCCAACGCGGCCAGGAGGACTGCAACATGAACTCAATAGCTCCGTGTGAGTGAGAAGATGGTAGTGAGCGCTAGATTGAACCTTTGGAGTTGCAGTTGGATTTGTCAGTCGCATCGCAAGCAACGGTTGCAGCTGTGTGCAGCGATCCCGCAGCTCTAAGCTTCTACGCCTCAAGATCGAAAGAGGTCCCACGTCATGAAGTTGGTTTTCCGGTTTCCTTCTACAGCCTCAAAGCCTTTGTCACTTGCGCATGAGCCAGCTTGAGCCTAAACCTTCTACCCAGACTCTATGCAGCTTGCTCCCGTGGCCGGATGTGCTCTGCCCGGCTCCGTCCTGGCAGAGAGCCGCAGCTCATCCTGCGTGGTGGTGCATGGAGGCGTGGCGATCCGAAGCCATGAACATACAGAGAACTTTTCAGGTGTTGGGCTCGCCTGTTTGTTTCGATAGTCGAGGGTACCGAGATGTTGAAGCCGGTTGGAACCTCATTTTGGTTGCTGAGGATGGCGATGCTCATGGTGCCCAAGCACTCCGACTAAGCACTTCTGTTGCTGCTGATGCCCCTGCTCTTGCCACTTGTACTCCTACTGCTGCTACTACTACCACTACTACTACTACTACTACTACGACGACGACTACTACTACTACTACCAATCCCAGTAGCACTACTATGACGACGACCCCGACCGCTACCGCTACTGCCGGCACCTACAATGGCCAGTCCCGGACATGAGTGGAGAGTTTGCAACGCCTAAAGTTTAGGAGCATTTGCAGGAAGACGGCCGGCACCTCCTTGGTGGCCGCTTGTGGCAGCTGCACCTTTTGCACGCCTCTGCTGCCGTCCGTTGGCAGGGCGTGCAGCAGTAACCAGCACCGAGTCGGCACTTAGGTGAAACTTGCATTTGGTAATTTGCGGATGTCTTGCTCATCTGCTACTCTGCTAATCCCTGGCGACGCGTCGAAGTGCAACTAAGCGCATATCATGCAGATACGTGCTGCCGAAGGATCATGTAGACGTGGTTTGGTGACTTGCTGCATCATGGCATAGTATGTTTAGTTGTGCATTCCGTGCGCTGTGTTCTCGTCCTCGTCCTGTAAGAAGATTGTGCGGATGAGTTTGAAAAGCTGGAGCAGTGGCTGGCGATGTCCTGGCCATCATAAACATGATAACGATGACCCTTACGTCACACTGGTGGCAGCTAGATATTCATCATCATCATCATCATCATCATTGTTACTCGTGGCCTTCGCTTCGGACTAGCAACATGTTGAGGACAGTAGAAGCAAAGCCCGAAGCGAAAGAGCCCCCACGCAGCGAATCACAAATCACTCGTTCCCTCTTTATTCTGTTGGCAGTGCGCATTCGGCACACTTCGAACGACATGAAGGTCCTAAGATGTCCTATGAAGTGAGGTGGACATGATCGGCAAGGACTTTGAGAAAAGCTGTCCTGCCATGCCACGGTGCAAACGCTAATAGAGACCTCCATGCTACAGCAGGCAAACTATGCTTAAGTTCATCATCCTTGTGTCGGGATGGTGTTGGTGCCAGATGCAGCATCATGTTCATAAGTTTTGCCATGGCTACACTATCATCAAAGCACTTATTACCAGCATCACCATCACTAGATAATCATCTTTCTTTTGCTCATTGTGCTGCACCCCTGTGTAGCCTACACTCTCTCTTCGGAGAAGGCAATATCGAGCTACGAAGACAGCCAGGTAGGCTGGCTCTGGGGTCTTTTGGACCATTTAGCGTGCGATGCATCGACAGAGCCAGTCGCTGAGGTAGGCCGCGGCGAGCGGCGCAGAATTCCCAGGCGCCAAGCCACGGCGCCAGAAGTCACAAGCTGTTCAGTGTTGCTTGTGCCCACATTCAGCACAGCGGCATTGCATGTTTGACACGACGTACAGCCTGGAGAGAGAGGGAGAAGGGGAAACAGCCCGAATTGTCGGACTAATCGCGTCCCTTCTCCCTTCGGAAGTTTGGAAACCCGAACCGCTGAACTGATCGGAAGGCCACGAACCTGCGAGCCGACTTCGAGCGCACCGCTCCGAACTGGTCAGAGGGCACATCACATCTTGAGGAGCAGTGCAGAAGCCTGGAGTCCTTAGGGCTCTTTTAAACTACAGCTAATATATTATAACCCAGAGCCCTGTTCGCCCGGATCACCCCAAAGCCGCACTAGGGCCTTTGGAGTTTAGGGCCTGGGGTTTGACTTGAGTCTGTGTTCACACAGAAAGTCTGCGGAGTTACGGGGGGGGGGGGGGGGGGGAATATCTCGGCGTGGATCCTCTTGCACTTCACCTGCGAGCAGTAAGGCTTTAATGGGATTTCGATGCTTTGCAGCTGGCGGTTGCTTCAATCTTTCTCAAAGCACTGGCTCCTAACAGTCGCGACCCATGAAAGTGCGAAGCCTTGACCCAGAAAACCCCTGAACCCTG